TTGCTTTCCCAAAAGTTGTTCTCATCCAGGGTGAACTGCAGTTTCGACCTCGCATTGGTCTTATCAACAACTTTTGGGAAAGCAAAGCTATGTAAAAATTCAATAGAAACGTCAGCTCAACTCATATCATTTGTGGGAAAATTCTACTTCTACCAGTCCTTCATCATCTTAAACGAAATTGGGTGAAACATCTTATAAATGATTTACTGGTAGTCATGAAAAACAATACTTAATTCGAAAAAAAATAGTCTAAACTAGCAGATTAAATTACAGGCATGTATTGCCCATTAAAGGTTGACTTGATGGAGCCGATTTTTGAATGGCTTTTTCGTTAGCTTCTAAGGAGAGGGACAACCTAGGACCTGTCGGAAGAGGAGATGTACACGTGGTGCATCTGGTAAGTACATCCTGTTAACATTAGACTGCACATGCTTACTGTCTACACTTGTCCGTTGACTTGGTACCTTCGAAGACATTTCTTTTGCAGACTTACCAATAAATGGTGCACATTTCCACTTGACTACCTGATCAGGTGGAATGGCGCAAGGATGGACGGCTTCTCCTCTCCGCCGACGGTGGAGCCGGACCCTCTGGCCTCACGTTGTCCTCCGAACGCAGTCGACACGGAACATCCGTCGCCTCAGGCTGGGCTGGGCTGGAAGAGCCACTGGTGGGACCGTTCGGAGGTTCGGAGGCTGGCGGCGCCAGTCTGACCAACAGTCCCGGAGCCCCGGGAGCCGGGCTCACAGGTGCCACGGTGCACGGTGGCTATCTACTGTCGCCAGACGGACAGACTGTCACTTTCTACTCTGTGACCGAGGCCTACTCGGGCATATTCACCTGCTCGGCTAGCAACACCCACGGCAGAGATACTAAAGAGTTTCGCGTCAATGTTAAAAGTGAGTACAATAGACGTTCTGTGGTTCCTGCATAAGTCGTGTCTATTAGTTTATCTGCACAGCTTCCTTCCGAGGGACACATTTTAGATGGTCTGAGATGACTCAACTTTAAGAATGTACCAAAAAAGGTTAGCTATCTACTTAAATTAATTTGAGTAGTCAGATTAGGAACGCAAAAAGTCCAAGCCTCTAACTGCATGGCAAGTTAGACAACTATATGAGATATTTATGAGATTTAATAAAAAATTCAAACCAAAGTTAGCAGTTTACTTTCGAAATTGGAGTGAATTCAATAGTTGTATACTTTTTTTCATTTATAAGCAAAGTTTCGAGGCTACCAGTTATATGAGATGCATTCACCATATTTCGTTGAAGGTGATGAAGGACAGAAGGTTTAATTTTTTCTCCACAATGCTATGAGTATAGCTAACGTCTCCGTAGTCTTGACTATGTGAAATTTAATGGAAACGTCAGATCTATTCATATCATTGTGAGAAAAAAAGGCTGTCAGACCTTCATCACTTCAAACGAAATTGGGTGAATGCATCTCATATAACTAGTAGCCTCGAAAATAAAAAAGGTATACAACTATTGAATTCACTTCCATTTCGAAAGTACACTGCGTATCCCTCTCAGCCAACTTTGGTTTTCATTAATTATTACACACACAATGATCGGTATTTATTTAGACTATAAGTTTATCGCGCAGGGACAACTGGGGCAAGTAGTATGTTAGATAGGCTTAGACAAATATT